AGTAATTAGTATAGTATATCGGCCAATTGATTCATTTATATAATAAATTATAATTTAATATAATACGAATTATTATATTATGTATTAATTTATTAATAATTACTACACTATTAAATTACTTACAGTTTATTATTTACAATATTTGTGTAGAATACGTACCTACATAAAAAAATATTTAAATTGTTAAATATTCTTTAAATTTGCATGTACACTAAAGTATTATTAAGTAATGTTTTGGATTAATATATGTTTTATTCTATCAAATAAACATAATTGCATAGTTTAGCTAGTAGTATGATCTAGCCTACAAGATCGTCTTGTGCGTCGGCGCCGCCACAGGAAGGGACAAGGTCGGCAACCAACCGTGAAGTTCCGCCATTATTGACAACTTGTTTATTTTAGTTACGAAATATTACTCTAGAAGAGCAAATAGTTATTGGTCATTGTTTTTAACACAAATTTGGGGCTCAGGAAACCAACACAGTCAGATACCTAATGAAACAATATCCATACAATCCATCCATATACATACTAATCTACTCTGTCTGATTCTCAGTATGTTACCTTTTCACGACTATAATATGACGTGAATGCAGATATCAAGAAAACGGATATAGGCTATCTTTTGTCTAAAAAAGGATAAGAAGTCGCGGGTAGCAGTCAGTAACATTTAATTTCATTTATATTTATTTTTTTAGAAAACATTTCTGCTAATCCCATAAATCATTCATACCTAGTTGGATTTGATTTATAGCTGTAACAAAAACAAGGAGCGAGTGGTACCGCAGTTGGTTAAATGCCTTACGTGCTAGGGTAACTGATGCCTGTTTATTTTTACGAGTCAACGATCTACATTTCAAACGGTTCGCGGTTCCGAGCCCGAGCCGTGGCAGTGTTGCACCCGCTAACCAGCAATAGCGGAAGCGAGCGAAATCATAACAATGCTGGCTGGTGTTTCTGAACTAGGGATGCCAACCGTATGAGGATACTCGTACATTTTATCATGCGTAAAGTGTCGTCTTCGTGGGTACCTCACCTCACCTCGGTCTCACCTACATATTCCAGTTCCTAACAGCTTGCTTTATAAGCTGTATCGGTTACAAAGAGCAGATTAGACAGTGAAATTTGCAGGACAAGAGGCAAGTAATGTTAGTTACTCTGGAATGGGAACGCATGAGTAGTATCAAGGTTGTCATTTTGTTCGTGATGTCTTTAGTGTTACTCATGTCTATTGGCGAAGATTACCGCTTACTATCAAGTGGACATTGTTGCTATTACAGTTTCTTATAGAAAACAGGTAAGGATGTCTGTATACGTCTTCATATAATTTTGTAAGAGATATTGACCTATATTTTTATGAAGACATTTGTCACAGTTTCCTATAATTTGCGTTTTATTGTTTATAAAACTTTGAGTTTAATGTAGCTGTTTTAGATAATGGTACTTACATAGCGTAAATAGCATCTCTGTCGCACGCTCCTCTCACATCATCTCGTAATTTCGTAAGTTTTACAAAATTTAACAACCCTGTTTTGTACTGACGCCCAACACTAATAATCTGGTTTCAGATGAAACTTGAAATAGGTACACGTTTCTCGGCAATGCGAAATGTATACTATGGAGTTGTGAAAAACTATGATGAATTAGCTATTCAGTACTCTATTATTGTACTAGTACAGTTGAAAATAACTTGATTAAAATGTATCACTCATCAACAGCACAAGCACGCATACGTATGTGTTCGGAATGTGAAGCGTGATAGATGAGAACAGGATACTTTGTCCAGAAATTTACAGTTTATGACTTGTGCAAGATCATTTTATTGGTAATTTAATAGTATTTTAAAAACCCTAGTTAGTATTGTAAATGAGAAAATGAGTTTGTTACGCTTTACGACTTAACCAATCATAATGAAATTCATACTAATGGATGCGAAGTGACTGCTGTCTTTTTGTTACATTTTCACGAATATTTGAACGGATGATACGGATTAATGTAACTAGACGTAAAGATAGATTTTATCACGAGGACAGAGTCTATAATAATATACGAGATATATTAATAGGAACCAGGCAGAGTAAATTCTAACAGATTTTTGCCTATATAACACTTGACCAATAATATATAATTACTTAGAAAAACCCTAACCAATATTTTTTTACGTAGCTAATTTCGTTCGATTCTTTTACATTAGTATAAACTTATTGATGAAAATATTTATATATGCCACCTGATTGATTATCCATAAACTTCCCGAATGTTTACTCAGTGATAGCGCGGAGGTAGGAATTTACTGCCATTGCTGTTGGCTGGTTCAATACAGGCGAGCCATATGTTTACGTTATAAATACTGTGCGCACGTGTAGGTGCGCCAGCGCATGATGTATGCCAGAACCGCCCACCTCCGACGATGTTACTGATTTGCTAACTTTTTTTATTATAATATTAGAATATTTTATGTATTAAATCATCTTATACCTTCTAATTGTCGGACCTATGTATGTTGGAATGTTATGTTTCAGCTCTCTATAAATAATTCATTTGTACCCGGTTATGATTGTTGTCTCACAATTGTATATTGTTTTTATTACTTAGATCTCCCTGTCATGCGTATTTAGTTTTTATTAGTTACATCTCGTCACTCGCAGATCGTTCACTTGATCTACCAAATTAAAGCCTATGCATTTCTATACCCAAATGCATACCTATTATATAAAATTTTATATTTATTGGTTAATTTGTTAAGAAGTGAAAGCATAACAAACAAACTCACTTTAGCGTTTATAATATTATTATTTGAGATTAGATATAGACATTACAATTATTTAAAATATATATTTCCATTCGAATGTATTCCCTTCAATTGTTGTGCGTACCAGCCATCAACCAGATAGATGTGCCTACCTATACAGCGCAGCATGACCCCAATTTTTGATTGCCACCAACGAACTGTTACCATAGTCACTGCGTTTGATTCAACAATTTCATCGTATTTTTTTCGCTTCAGCGGACGTATTTCGTAAATAGAGGACTTGGATGGACGTCAGTTAGTTACATCAGTCGGTACGGCGGAAAGAAAATGACAGGTATCAAAATAGCCATTAGTGACTCGTCGTTTGAATACATTTTTGTTTGTTAATGTTACATGTATGTTATAGGAAAAATGATAATGCATTTTCTGATGCTTCATAAATAAAGCTAGTAAGGCTAGTAAATAGTTTAATGTGCAATATAACTAACATTGCACATTAAACTATTTACTAGCCATATATGTTTTATTTTGAAGGGTATACATTTTCTTATTGTTTAATTCTTGTATGTGACACGTGTGTTCTGTTTATATAATTCTTCTAATTTCTATTGAAAAACGTCAAGAACTTACTACCACTTGTAGGTTTTCATAACCCATACAAATAAATAACATTGAAGTATTTGTCTCAAATTAAAAACTTTTTACTAAATGCATATGAAAGTATTTGATGATAAGTACTTGCATCAAAAAATAATAGTTATTCTTTTCTCTCTGTTGTTCTTGATTTCTCTGAAACGACTGGACGAGTTAGACGGAACCTCGGCTTGTATATACGTAATGTTTTATTTTAATCTTACATTTATTTAGGGACTTTTATCCTATCATAATCAGGTGCATAAGGATATAAGGAGGGCTACAGTTGTTTTAGATATTTTATTTGTTTTAATAAAAAACTTATATTCCACGAGGACAAAGTCATGAATAAAACGCTAGTTTTTTTATACAATTTATAGTCGATGAAGTAATTTATAAAAATGAAACATTGATAAATAATTTACAATTTTACGCATGATTTCTTTTGTCTACATAATGTGTATATTGCAAGTATAGTTGATTGGATACGGAAACTGCAACTAATATAACTTTATCTATATGGAATTATTATCAGAGATAAAACAAAATGTATCATTGCGTATGTTACGTTGCGGAGTTGGTATTATTTTATGTGCGATTGTGCTATCGACCCTTATCTGCTTATGAATACTTTTTGTCAATTATAATGAAAAGGACTGATGTTTTCTCTGATTATTCTAAAAAAGTAATAGCTTCATAATAACAGGGATATAACAGTGCATAAATGGAAATCCTTATTAATAATAACATGTAAGGAATATTAAATTGTGGTAAAAATGTGTATTTTTTTAATGCTGCAATCTATTCTTAACTCGACGAACAGTGGAACGAAAAGGTATTTGAGCTTACGTTTGGCTCGTATTTAGAAATTGGATGTGATTTAGACGATAGATTTTGATTTATTACAAGTGTTCCTAAATATAATTATAACATTAGAAATTCCTACGTTCTCTTTTCACCGCTCATTGTAAGACATTTAACCAAAATTACGGAACATCGCGATAACGATAGTCTTTTGGCGAAAGCGACAATAATACTACTGGGTGAAACGCCTTCGCGTCGCCGTCGACATTCCGAATGTACATTTTTATGACTGTACCACTAGACCACTACATTTTGTGGTATAAAAAACTCATACAAAGCGACCAGCTTTGTATGAGTTTTTTTTTTATTTTGTAACGTCCATAGCAGATTATTTCTTGTAATGCAATTGAAAATCTAAAACCATTGACGACTGAATCTAATATTTAATTCTTATTTTATACTAGCAGTGCCCGTGGTTTATGTATAAGCTATATTTTATTGAAATTACCAATGATTTCTCTAATGTTCCAATGTTCCCAATTTTCTGCTACATACCCTAGATATACAGCATTTAATCAATTTGATTAAGAATTTTTTAATGAATTCGTTTGACGACGACGAAAAAATCTTTGATTTAGACCATATTTTTAGTGTACTGTAACTTTGCTTATTTTTAACCGATTTTCATGACATTTATTTTAAAGCAAAGGTCTTATTTTCTGTGTTTTTCACACTGCTTTTAACAACTTCTATAAAGTAGGATTGTTTTTCTGTAATTGTATTAGTTCACAATGTGAATTCTGTGTTTCAGGTTGACTTAATGCTGTGACACGCGGCGCGATGGACGCGGCGGACAAGCGGATGCTGGAGCGCGAGGCGCTCCGGAATATGATCCAACAATGGAACGCCAATCGCCTCGATTTGTTCGAGCTCAGCGAACCTAATGAGGTTTGTCACCTTCTATGAATATACTATAATTTAGCTAACAGTAAATAATGTAGCTAAAAATAGATTTGTGGGTTTTGATTGTAACGAATAAAGGGGTTTCAGACTTGACCCGGAATGTGAATTTTCTGCCATGCTAGTTTCTTTTTACATATCCCTTTTACATGTTTGTTAGGAAGGCATATAATACAATAATAGTTTTCATAGCTTTTATTACAGATAATTTTATTGCAGGATTCTCCTCATATTATTAGAAACTACATATTATACTAGTCTCATATATTTATAAATTGTTTAAATTGATAAAGATTAGTTATCAATTCTTGACTTTAAAACAATATCAACATTGTAATTGATAAATATTTTACGATTATTATGTAATGTAACAAACATTTATTATTATCAATCTATTTATATGTTCACGCTATAGGATATGGGCCAGGCAGAGAGAAACGCACACTGTTGGCTTTATCTTTTATCACCTTTCCTCCACTTGCATAATTCGTTTTCTTCACTCTCTCTTCCTTTAGATTAGATTATTAAAAATGGAACGCAAACATTTTTTTGTTTGGTAACTTTTTTGTTTGTAGGGATTTTGTATAGATTGTATAGATAATAAAAATATACTTACTTATGTAGAATTGTGTGTAGAAAGGCGATAAGGTGCAAAGCATGAATAAAAACTAATACAAATTCTACGCATGACACGCAGTACCTCCTTAGTTGATATTTCATGCAATAACCATATAAAGACCTTGTTTCCTCATTATTGCAATTCACCTGGACATTGGTTACGATAATAATTCACTTTGAGCTTAAATTTATTTTTATCCGAACAAAAAGTTAGTAATGAATATTCTACTTATAGCTTTTGCCTCAATATATAGTTTAATTACCGACATGTGTCTAAAATGTCTTGTTTTCTGCTATAACTTTAGTTAGGCCCTTATTATATTGTTTCACTTGCAGGTGCAACACTAATAACCGTCTAGAACTTCCTCTTATTAATCTAGTAGAATCTCATGTCTTATCGGTCGTTGACCTACAATATGCTATACACTTCTATACCGGTTTTAGTATGGCAAGCTAATGTTTGACGCGCTTGAATCGGGTTCAAATGGGAATCAATGGAATATGATAATCATTATATTCGTTAGCATTTACCTTTTTATAACATTTACTATAATACATCGTCCATGTACAGAACAGCGTGTCTTAAGGATTTGACTACTACTACATTCAATGAGTTTTTTGGATATTCTTCCCTTAGCCAAAGGTTTATAAATGATTTTACATTGTTTCTGTAATATATTATTACATTATTAGTCTTGTCATCTTACTTAGCCACATAGACATACTATCTTTCTGCTAGTATGAGTCATGGTAACTGAGTAAATTCATAAAAGTTATGCTGGTTATTGTTTGCTTCTTTATCTTTACGGCTACGTAAGAAATTTACGGGATAAAGATAACGCTTTACTATTTGAAATGTATGGGGTGATTACTTGAAAATAATTTTGGTCGTGCTGAATCACTGTTTGTTTGACTCACAGTTGATTAACAATTTCATTCATACCCTTAGTAATACACTTAATCAATCTGCAATCAATATGCTGCAGTGAATCAACGAAATGCAAATGCAAATAAAGTGAATGAAATTATTGCCTGCCATTTAATTTGTTCATTATCACCGATATCGATTGCCATCTCTAATAACGGGAACAAAAAACAGGGTCGTTTTTTATTTCTTAAGATAATACAATGCTACTTTATTTAGCTTAGTTATTTAGGTACGATTCCATTAATTTGAAAGCTGTGCGCTGATAGAGTCTATCTGTTAGAATTATAAACATAAAATAGAAATGCGGAAATAAAATTATAACATAACATAAGAAAATGTAGGCTAAATATTCATTATTTATTACTATTGTGTATTTTTTTTACAGAATCTGGAGTTTCATGGCGTGATGCGATTTTATTTTCAAGACTCTGGACAAAAGATAGCAACGAAGTGTATTCGAGTTGCGTCAGACGCTACGGTCAGCGATGTCATAGGTAAGACCTGTTATTTGTTAATTCGATGGTTTTAGGAACTATATTTTATTCTCAATAAAATACTTAAAGTAGGTTAGAGTCACGTTGAACACTATTTTTGCGATCTCATAGGTCTACGGTACTACGGTCAGCGTTATAGTGACAGCTTAGACGTGTCTACATAATATGGTACCAACACTCGGCGAGTAACTTACGTTAATTAAAGTAATTGTCCTCTTGAGTACGAAATAACTCGACACTTATGGCTACTACGCATTTATAACGGTTCTCACTTTGAATATGGTTATATTATTAACCTGAATCTTATGACGTGTTCATAAAACAGGTTCTAACTAGAAACTACACCTGACCCGACTTATTATCATGTTTACCATATTTGGAGTAATAACTCAGATAATATAGTCCATTAGTTATTGCATGTTGAAAAGAATTCATTTAAATCTAACCGGTTTTGCATCGCCTCTGTAAGTCTAAAACTACCTTCAAATGACTCGAGACATGACGAGAGCAAGTCTTCCTAATAGATCTTATTAGATGCGACTATAGTTTGTAGTATTTTTGTATACATGAATTACGAGCTCTTATATTTGTATTTTCAACATAACTGTTGTCAACTGTCATGCTCACAGTAACTAGTCTATCTACTAGATAATATAAAACAAAAAATATTTTGAATTGAAGTAGAAGAAAGCTCTATCAACAGACGTCAAACTGTCATGTCGAGTATCAAATTACGAAGTAGCCGCCAGCCGGAATTGAGATTCTATTCTACCGATTCTTAAATAAATGACCAAAAAATTAATTATTACCGGAATCGATGACCGAGAAAGGTGCCAACGGCATTATTTCAACAATATGTGGTAAATGTAAATATAATTAACCCATATTATAATGCAGACGTCTGATTGGCATATTGGCAACATTTTGATAACCTCTTGTCTTGTTTTTTAATTAAAATGTCTGATGTGTGGATATTGACCGCAATTAAATATAATTAAAATATATTTTCGTTAATATATTCACGCTGGGTGATTAGCGTTAGGGAGTTAAAGGAGAGATGAAACACCACGATGTTGAAGCTTTTTGCAAATTTTATAGAATTTGTTTATATGTTTGTCAGGTGCCTATTGTCACAAACTCTGAGTTTAGGACATGATGAAATCTCAGTAGTGCAAGGGTATTTTACTGGTAATATTTAAATTATTGACTTTGAATTTATTAAAGTATTACAAAAATATTTTTAATTTTGTTATAATTAGAGACCCTTATCGAGAAGTTCCGTCCAGACATGAGAATGTTGTCACTGGGGTCCTACTCATTGTGGGAGACCCACGGTCCGGACGATGAGCGGCGGCTGGAGCCACATGAGAAACCTCTACTAGTACAGCTCAACTGGCATGCGGATGATCGCGAAGGACGTTTTCTGCTTAAATGTCTCAGTAACAAAGAGGTAAGTTACAACCCTGTATACACAATCTTTGATTGTTTGATTTCATTCCAAAACGTTTCCAAAAGTAAGAGTCCAATCTTATCTCTTTCATCACAAACACCCAGTCAAATAATTGTAAAATCTTTATGACGAACATAAATGTCACTAATACTTTAATTATACCACAGATAACATAATATTACATACAGATACCCCATCCCATACAAGAAAATGGTTCCTTCCTAACTCGGGCTATTCTTCGGGCTATTTTATTTCGCCACCGTAGCCGCTAGATGTCGCTAGATCTGAAGCAGTTCGGATTACTAGTGGGTGCTTAGTAACAAAGCATGAAAATAGATGGCAGTGAATTCAGTCTACATGACATCTGTTTTGCAAAGATATGTATATAATAGATATGTAGGTAACTGTATCGTGTACCTCATTAGGGACGATTCAAGATTCAATGTAAATGTGTAGGTATAATATCGTTAGCCGACACTCTGCAGATATGGCTTATGTGCCAATGTATATACCTATTGTGTTATGGTTTATTTTACATTCCATGCCTATTTTTTTTGATATGTTGTAACGCGTCTGCGCTTTACGTATAGCCTGATTTTGATACGTTTATACTCGTACGTATCAAAATCGGGCTATACGATTTTTTATTTTAATCGTTATATGTATGAGACTGATTTTAGCTACAATTAATTTACTGGTATATACCTCATGTATTCTACGATGTACCCCTCTTTTACCTAATGAGAATTCCGCTATATCTTATATATAAATTTTGTATCACAGTGTTAGTTGCCATATTTCTCCCACATTTTGATGAAATTTGATATGTATACTTCCCAGGTCTGAGGTAGGGTTGTTATCTATTTTTTATACCCCTAAGTCATAGGGGTGGCCTACCCCGAAAAAATATTTTTTTGTATTATGGACAATTTTTTATTTATTTATAATGTTACATTGAAAATACATACACGCCTAAATTTTCACCCGTCTTTCACCAACCCCTATTTTTAATAGCGATATTCTTACAAATATTATAAATGCTAAAGTAACTCAGTCTGTCTGTTTGTCTCGCTTTCACGCCAAAACTACTGAACTGATTTAATTGAAATTTGGTAGACAGATAATGTAGACCCTGAGAAAGGCTACTTTTTAATGCGAAAAAGTATTGAAAGGGGAAATGAAAGGCTATATGAGGATATCGTAATTTTTAAAGTCAGATCTTGTAAGATTAAGTGAACAGGGTCGGTCTAGGTTTTTCATTATTAGAAATGTGTAACGGGGTAACACGTTATTTAGTGCGAAATTGTGTATATTACAATAAAATTTAACGAGAAAATATTATAATGATATCACTGGGACACTCATTGCCTTACTACTATATCGTCCGTTAGTCGCGAATTTTCTGGAAACACGAGAGGCGCTATCCTATTGGTCGGTCGGCGCGGTTACCGCGCGTAGATGAGTAGATGAAGTACTTAGACGAGTCTCACGGCGCCGCAGCGTAAGTACTTACTATACATACGTAGTATACATATGGGTATTACAAATGTTTTTATTACTAGTAATATTACTCTGTTATCTAAGCAAGTAATGTGTGCTTATTTTGAACTTGATAACATTCTGAATTACTCGTATATCTTTCAATATCTTTAGCGGTATAAACCAGGTTATGTACTACTACTAGTATTGTTAGTGAGGGATAAAGTTGATGAACAAAAATAAAACAATATTCGTATTAAAAATATATTCATCTAATATTTTTGGCATTATTTTTAAGTTTCTTCCAAATATAAGGGGTCTGACATGGGATGTTATGTACCTACATTAAAAAATACTTTTTGAAATGTATGAAAGAAACGTATTGTATGAAATTTTTGAAATGTGTGAAATGTATGCACCTACATTAAAAGATAATTTTTGAAATGTATGAAAGAAATGTATTGTATGAAATTTTTGAAATGTATGAAATGTAAGGACCTACATTAAAAGATAATTTTTGACATGTATGAAATGTATGAAAGAAATGTATGTACCTACATAAAAAGTTCATTTTTGAAATGTATGAAATGTATGAAAGAAATGTATGTACCTACATTAAAATATAATTTTTGAAATGTATGAGATGTATGAAAACAATGTATGTACCTACATAAAAAGTTCATTTTTGAAATGTATGAAATGTATGAAAGAAATGTATGTACCTACATTAAAAGATAATTTTTGACATGTATGAAATGTATGAAAGAAATGTATGTACCTACATTAAAAGATAATTTTTGACATGTATGAAATGTATGAAAGAAATGTATGTACCTACATTAAAATATAATTTTTGAAATGTATGAGATGTATGAAAGAAATGTATGTACCTACATAAAAAGTTCATTTTTGAAATGTATGAAATGTATGAAAGAAATGTATGTACATTAAAATATAATTTTTGAAATGTATGAGATGTATGAAGTAAATGTATGTACCTACATTAAAAGATATTTTTGACATGTATGAAATGTATGAAAGAAATGTATGTACCTACATTAAAAGATAATTTTTGACATGTATGAAATGTATGAAAGAAATGTTTGTACCTACATTAAAATATAATTTTTGAAATGTATGCACCGTACAATAACAATACACGTTAAACATCATACCACAGAGTCATACGCAAGTTAAAAACAAACTGCTATGATATTAATGAGAAAGGAAAATAAACTTTATGGTATTCGAGTTAGGGTCGATTTCTCTCTTTTTTTAAAATATTTTAATCTTACCAGTTGCCAGTATTCGAAGACAGCTACGATTCGTACTCGATATTTTAAATTATTATGTAATCGATTTTTCAGTACAAATGTAAATAACCAACGACACTAATAATGTACTACTATATTCCGTTCTTTGAAACGGAATACTGGTATACTTAATACAAAATAATGAAAATTTACTGTTCAGAACGACTCATTAAAAGCATCATCGAATAATGCGCTGTAATAAAATCCTGTTATCGATTATTAAAAAAAATCGATAATACATGTATTTATTTTTAATATGACAACACTTCATACATAAGTATTATTGGAAATAGTATTATTTGCTTGTTCGGCTATTTTTAATTTACTTAAACTTTTTTTATATGTTTAATTTACAATAATAATATATTAAGTGCTTATTATTGGAAAATATAAAAAAGACATTTAATTAGGCCGATACAAATGACAACAATGCCATCTATGAAAGCATTTTGAAAACATTGAGCCCCGTATTAGCATTGATTAAAGTGTAATTAAGTACTGGAAAATAACAAAATGAGTAAATATATGAAAATTACTTTTCTAAACGCATTATTTCATTTTAACATGTATATATATTTTTTTAAAAATGGATTAAACTATTTTGAAAACACAGTTTTGTTTTTTAAAACGTTTGCAAAACTATGAAGAATTCCATCGATACCAATCACGCCATCTATATGCAACTTTTAGCAATAATAATGGCTATTTCCTCATTGAGTGCCACTGATTATACTTACCTACCATGTACCACCGACCATGACCCTACTACTACGACGACCTACTTAACAATTTATTGATACTAGTCGAAATTGGTTGATAAAATTATTGTTTTTCACTAATATATTAAAAAAATTACTGTATATTTTATAACAATTGATTAACAAACGAAAGCATTTAGTTCTTAATACATTTTGTGATGGTAAAATACTACGATGTAAAAAACATTTCTTTTTAGCACGCAATAGATGTCTTAATAAATATTAGCTTACAGGTTACACTATTTAGTTGGCAATTGAAACTATACAATAATTTAAAAACCAAAGGCTTGTGTAGAAGAACATGTAGTTTTTTACTGTTACTATTCTAACGTGACTATGAACGAAAAATAAGATCGTTGCGTTCTTGCGTATCTATTGAATTCCAATATCCGAGATTACATTGTTGTTATAGTAAATGTATGCTAGTATACTACAAGTATTTATAATTATCTTAAAATTCAGCAGACAGCATTGGCGGCGGTTAATGAAAAAGCAGATCAAAACTTCAAACGGAAATTGTCTAAACGCGAGAAAAAGGAATTAAGAAAGAAAGAGAAATTGTCAAGATTGAAATCCGATACTAATAATGAAAATCGACCTGTTGCCGAGAAACTTTACACAGGTGTGTAGAAAATAGTAATTTATTGTACATATTATATAAACGGTATATTTTTAATAATAAGATTATTTGTGAGTTTGAGTAAACATCTCATTCATATAAAGTACAATTGTAAACAAGAAAGTTTAAAATGTTCTCATTTAGTCCTTGATTTTGGAGTGGCTGATATCTATGATCATTCGTGTGTAATGTAACGGGTAAGAAATGAGTAAATCATCAGTATTATTAGGGTTTTTTTATCGGGGGGTTTAGGCACTGCGATAGACATAGATCTATCGTGCTCGCCTCTTTTTAGAGGTCAAGGTCTTTTTAGAGGGACAAGAATTGAAGGATATTCTTTGGAGCGATGGTTTTTATCTCCTCAGGATAGAGTATAAAGTTTCTACAGGAGATATTGCGTTATCAGTGGGCTACAACCACACAACCAACATAGGATATATAGTGGAGTTTTCTATTCAGCTTGACGAAATGATACAATAACATGTGTGTGTTAAATTTGTATATATAATTTTATACGAATAATGTAACTTTTTGTTTCACAAAGTGAAATACAAAGTTACGAGATACGTTGCATACTCGCTTATTAAAATATATATATAAATACTAAAAAGCAATAATATGTCTATTAGTTTAGTTCTTGAGTGCTAACCTATTAATCAATATATTTATTTCATCCTTTATAATCTATAATCTGAATTTAACAGTCAACTGATAGATTATTTAATAGGATTGATTTAATTAGTGGGATTGATTTATAAAAAATATTTGCATATTTGTCTACAGAGCTACCTGAAACATCATTCACTCGCAGCATCAGTAACCCTGAAGCTGTAATGCGCCGGCGTCGGCAGCAGAAGTTAGAGCGAAAACTACAACAATTCCGTTCAAAAGACGGCGGACCAGATACTGGTGTGTTTCTATTGATACACTGATTTATTTGACATATCGTAGATATTTCAAATAGGAAATCTGTCTGTCTCTTTCTTTTTGAATCCTAAATATTTTGAACTGGTTCTCATGTATTTTAGAAGATGAATCACCAGGATGAAGACAAAATGTCTTATCTCAATAAAACTAATGAAGTGGAAGTAACAGCTAGATTGTATTAACGTTGTATTCTGGTCTCATGAATTTCTAGACAGCTTTCATACTCAATGCTAAATATGTGGATTTCGTACTGCTCAACGGTTTATCGAATCTACTACTATGTTTATAATGATTAAATTATACTTAACAAACGAAAATTCCACTAGGCTGCCGATTAGAATGAAAAAGAATGTCGCAGTTGGATAACATTATTATCTAAGGTCATTTTATAATTAATCTTCAGAAAAGCAATTACAAAATTGTTAATTTTAATGTTGTTTGTGTAGCGCCATCTGTCTTATATTTGACATATCGTAGAAAATAACGTTTGAACCGTTATATACAAATAGTTATTTGATAAATATGAAGAGGGCGCCACATTGTCTGTTTACATAATTGTGTAATTAAAATCGAATAATTGTAATTGCATTGTTGTTTTATAGATAAATAGATGGAAAAAAACGTGTTCTATACTTATGTAACTATGGTACTTTTTAGATAAGAAGTAAAATGGAATTTATGAATGAATACTTCTACCATAATTAGCAGGAATTAAAAATTACAGCTTAAAATAAAACAATAATAAATAGTTAGTTACGCGTTATAACAGCACAGATGACAATCATAGCTACTTTATAGCATTAAGTAATGTTGTGTATAAAGATTTTCAAACAAATTTGATTTAAATTGGGTTTGATATATTGAAAGATTATGATTTCCAATTGCCTAGATTGTCCTTCTATCTATCACTACTATAGCATTATAATGTAGGGTAATAGTGTATAGATAATATTATTAATATAATAGTGTATAGATTTTAAAAACAAGAATGAATTGTCTGAAATAAATAGTAATTTTATACATTTTTACTCCAATAATGCAGGCGGCACGTTGAAAATCTACGGTTCTTCCCTATGTCCTGATGTGCCTTACAAGACACTCTTGTTATCTGTGGGTGAAACTGCCGCCACGGTAGTGCGAGAGATGCTTGATAAATATGGACTCTCCCGACAGGATCCCCAGCAGTTTTGCATCGTTCAAGTAAGTACACATATAGGAATTATATCCATATTTCTTTTCTCTTAGGATTTTTGTACACTAAATGTGACGATAAGAAGCCCATCGTACCTACATTAAATAACAAAAAATACGCAACTTAAATTAATGTGATACCCATGTGAATATTAAATAGGTAAACAAGAATTTGTCGTGTTTGTTTAAATAGAATGGGAAGAATAACTCGGCCGACTTAAAATAGTTAAAATTTGTATAAAGGCAAAAAAACTGTTGTATTGAGAATAATGGGTTAATTAATGGTTAATTTAACTTTGTTGTTTGTGAACCCATTATAATTAAACAAACACATAATACAAGTATTATGGAATGTTAGTGTATATATGCGAAAGAAAAAAGACTAAAATTATTATTTTTAACTCCAAATTATAATTACAATGTGCCCTATTTTTTAATGATTATATATTAATCGGATACCATCCACGTCAAGGGTGTATATTATATTATGACAACACACATTATAAGACTGACTCTGATTTATATTGACGGTGAAAACAAAAGATTCTATAACAATGCATATGCCGTTGTTGAATGTACATGACCCGTTTACGATTTTATTATATGTGTCTTTTGATATCCCCGATTCAGTATTTAATATAATATGTACATACATGCAAAAATACTCAGAACTGACAGTTAATTAGTGAACCTTCCGAGAAAAACTTTCTCCGTTACTTTGTACTACTGTGTAAATTGAATAGTTTACTCCAATTTTGCTACGAAATGGTGGTAATAATTTTGGTATAAGCTGAATAAATGGCAAAAGCTAATTTCTCACGTGTAATTCTCAACCTGAAGGTAATAGAAATGTAGTTAAAGTATAAGTATTATGTATAACCGTTGTAACAAAGACTGTATTGTAATGTTACTGCTTTCGTATCCATAATAATAATATAACATATATGTATATTAAATAATAAACAAATAAATAACACAATGACAATTAACACGGCGTCACCTACTCCCACAGTAAGCAGAGCTTGTCTTCTGCATACTAGTCAACTGATATAAATACTTAGATATTTTTTATAAATACAAATGTTTGCACCGTGGGAGGAATCGAACCCGCGACCCTAGGAAGAAAAGCGGTGTGCTAAACCACTAGACCACCGACACCGTCATATATTGCATATTGAGTTACTTAGTTTATTACTATTAAGGTGATTTTATCATGTCATCGAAGCAATAGATTGTAAAAACTAAACTGAAAATTGGCATTTAACCAACATATTGTTGAAGTAGAAGAATCTAGACAAATATGCTCAGTAGTACTAGCTCCGTATAATTCACAGTTAACAAATGTCAACATCTCGTCACCAGTAATAACATGGACAGGACCCCTAAGTCTTCATCCATTCATTCACAATTTAAGAGCTGCCCTCCTGCCACCTTCCATGCTCTTCTATCAATCTTTTTAGTAGTTGATACGAGACGACTCCAACTTTTTCCTTAACCTGCTTGATATAGCTGTGTCTTGGTCTTCAAGGGGAAGATCAAGACACCGCTACATAAAATATTTGTATTTGTCAATTATGTATTTACAATAAAGGTTATATATTTGTGTCTTGAAAGTCACAGCTTGTTCTTATCTCAGCTTATTTTCATAATAAAATTACTCGTACATTCTACTCAGACAACATAAAGAAAGTCTCGAAGAAATATTAGAATATTTAACAAAGTTATAAGAGTAAACTAACAAAGTTGTGCATAAATGACATCGTTCAGTCCGGTGACACGGCGGCATCACGTTGTAGCACCGGCAAATTGCGCTATCAAGGCATCTCATTTCGGATTTCCAAAAACGTAGAAAGGACAGAAACAGAACAAAGTTTTTTTTAAATTAATCATCTTGAATGATGATCTGTTGGGAATCACACGCGCGACGTAACTTTTACCATATTTATTCATAGTCTTCCACTAATTGCAATTGCAATTCGCGATTTGAAAGGAAAATGTTGTAATAGAAGAAATAACTCGAATGTAAATACTTTTTTTTTAATATTATGAGAAATTATAGCCTACATTTTCAATGTCGTAGTCATTTTAATTGAGTGGTGTAAAATATACTCATAAAAAATATATTGTACTTCGTAAAACAAACACTAAATTTTAAGTGAAGTTTACAATACATTAATGGAAACCGCACTCAAATCAGTTAAGCTGTGTCCGAAATTAGCAACAAATGGACAAAATTTATTATAATCATTGTTTTTGTTTTTAGTTATATTACGTAGATAAAATCCCCTTTTATTCTATTTTTATTTTACTTTTCATTCCATGCACAGACGGCGATGAGTTACATTTTTATTAGTAGATATAGATATGACCAGTCATATGTTAACAAAAGTATGTATAGTCGTGGGAAAGCATTGATTCTCGACAACTCGTGATGATCCAATCACTCGTTAGGATCGAACATTTCTACCTTTGATCAACAATGTACTTTTATGTATAGAAATTGTAATTAATCAGATTTGGTATTTGCGACTAGTGTCCTCGCATAATTTCTCTCCTCTATTTGACTATTAAGGAAATCCCACTCGAAATTTTCGAGTATCACAGCGTATGAAGTGCCATGGATATATATACAGTATTGATATAGTTACAGAGTACAGTACCTATGGTATTGTACTCTGTAACTATATCAATTCTGTTGTCATCTAGTATAGACGACAGCTTGAAACTATCAGTTAACTTCGTTTGATTCTTATTGAGTTAGAAGATATATTCGATCTTATAATACAATATAATACAAATATATTCACGTCAAATTTCATAAAGGTTCTTTATGTTCAGCCCTGTAGAAAATGTAACAAACAAACAGACAGACACTTTCACATTTGTAATATTAGTATATATTATGTATCTAATAGTTACATAGTTCCAACAAGAGATATGCGACACATTTACCCAACATTATTCCCCCTGGTATCTAATATTACGCATTTCAAATGTTATTACGTTTGCCAGGTTGACGCGGCCGACAATTCTGAGTACATACTGGAGGACGACGAGTGCCCACTTGCAATTGTAATGACCCATCCACACCGCAGTAAGTACCATTTACTTTTATACTTTTTATGTACACAAAGTATTTATTTTGTATGACGAATGTACTTATGAATGATTGTAATAATTTCTTTGTGAGAACTATTCGGAGGTTGAAATATTATTTTGTATATTGTCGACAATGTCACGATACATTGTTATAGCGATGCTATATATAGTATTTGTAATTTCAAGTCAGTATCATAGGCAGTTGCAGCCCATTTAGTACGAATACTAATATTAAAATGAGCAACACTGGTGTGAATTCAAAACCCGGTCCATCAAATGTTTTTCAATCATACAAAAAATATACCTATTGATGTAGCTGCATGTAAATCGCTACTACCCCCGGGATCTTAGGCGTCCTTCGTCCTGTCCTGCGTGGCAACAAATACTCATAATATAACGGTACCCACTGATCTGCTATCCAATCCAGAGCATTATTAAAGAACAATGCGCGCACACCGGGTCCAAGCAGAAGTACACCGCGTCCACGCAGAAATAGATGTCAGGATGGCAGGAGAACAGAGACAGTCTCTTGCGAAATATAATGAACACCATGCGCGAAATAGTTTATATTACAGTGACCACAGACGGTATCTTCATATAGGAGTACTTTTCGAGAACTGTTCTATGACGAGTGTAGGTATGAAATAATTATTTTAATGTACAATAGCGGAGTACAATGTCTACTTCTTAGGACACTTTTTTATTTATAAAAACAAAAGACGGCGAGTGTTTTATATTTTTTTCTTCTTATATTATTTGAAAGATTATTGATAGCTTGATTAGAGGCCAGGTACATATTTTAGAACTGCAGTGCGTATCTCGACCGGAATATTCAGCCAATACGTGACCAATATATTATTTATAGACATCTAAAGTCTATCTGTCAAGTAAACTCTTAAGTATGTGGTGTGGTGGTATGTGCCTAACCATCTATAGATTATAATTTTCGTCTTTATACTTTCGTAGTCACGTTAAGTATTTATGGTTCGGTTTTCCAGAGTTATTTAAATACAGTGTACTGCTGTAAAGGCGCGTATATTATGCGCCACGTATGCCATTTATAGCGAGTGTACTGTAACAAAACCAAACACAAGCGTTATGAAATCTCTCATACATATATACAAAGTGCATTTGGAATATAAAAAGAAGGAAGTTGCGGGTAGCAGCTAATTTAACTTTTTGCTATTTTTACTTTTTAGTATTGTTTAGTAGTTTCGATTTTTACAATTTTCATTTTAAGAATAAAAATGTCAACTTGTCTGTGGAGTGGCATGGTATATACTGTCTAATGTTTAGTCTCTAACAAAACAAATATTTGCTAAACTGAAAGTATCCTCCTGAACTTAAACAATCCTCTTTAACTTTGGCTTATTCGGACCGGAAGATCGGAAACAACGAGTATGCACTTTTAGCATTATGCTTTTGTGTCGAGGTAACCGTACTAAATGGGATCGGCGCATCCAATCAAAAGTTAGATTGATTTTGGATCACTTTTGGAATGTTAATTTTGTTTGTTATTATACTGCCCGCCTAATTGTAACTGTTTACCACTAGATGAGGCAATTTTTTGCCTCTTCATGGTATCTAAACATTATAAAATTAATAATAATATGAAACCAAATACCTCATGATATGATTGGTACAAAGAAATATGTGTTTCAATTTATTAACTTGAAGATTAACGTCTATAATATGTATATGAAAGATAAATTTTATGCGTTTGAATCTATATCTAACTCCTGACCCGGGAGTTTTCGAAGTGTTTTTTTTTGTTTACAAAGACTCGTGTTGGTTCAAGTAATACTGTATGTATTACTTGATATAATATAAGCTCAACATCTGATCATTGTGATAAACGAGATTAATGTTATAAGGTCGTAAGTGTACCTTGACCACATTACATTCTTTTGTTTCAAGATTAAGACGTGAGAAAGTGATAAATAAACAAACACGTGATAGTGCAGCAGTGTAGCGCAGTTTCTCACAAACATATTTGAACCATTGAGCGCATTCAGTTAACGAAAATGTTGATTTAACATTTAATTTATTTATTATGAACTGCTACAATTACATTAGTCAGTGTAAAAACGAACCATTACTAAGTTTTCAGGAATTCGTAATCAAATGAATATGGTTGAATCTTGATTCCAGCCGGAGAGCTGGAAATCATCGAGGTAAAGACTTAATAACAATATTGAATTTAGCGCTAGCGCTCGAGTTTGCCGTCGCACATAACGAAGTCGTACGATTTTTTCGTCACGATACAATAGGAAAGCCTGTGTCCAGTTGAGTAGAAAATAAACGTCATGCCTTAAACACGGCCATTGGTTGAATTGTACGGATTTGTACGACAATAGATTAACAAAAGACGACAACGAAGATCAAGACGTGATTTGACAGCGATAATACGGTTATAGAAGCTCTCTTGATATATTTATATATAGTATATTAATATATATTGTTTCATAAAAGAAAAAACGAGTACCTATCTACTACTGATAAAATGGGTAAGAAATTAATATACAAAAATATGAAACGCAAAGAGCTTCATCGATATTCCTATAAAGTACCGCGAAAATATAACTTGAAATACTGCTGAGTTAAGAAACTCTCGTCCCTTTGGCATTGGATATAAAAGAATATAATTTACAACTACGATAAAATCTAGAGAGATTGCAATGAGAATATTTAAATTCGGTGTTGAATTCGCAAACTTTCCGTCACACACAGAAAAATTACAGACTAATAGGAGACACTGCTCCTATTAAGCCGGTTTCTCTATAATGATTCGATTTGCTACAATATTGTAAGCCCAGTATTGAAAACAATCTCCTTTTACGACAAAACGATTTGGAGACAGTAATAAATATAAATGCTATTCTGTGAGTCAGCGCCGGAACTCAGCGCAGTGGAAAGATGTAAGATTCTTTACATTGTGGTAGTAGTTACCATGACTATTAAAGTTGATGTACTTAATGTACTGGTATATTGTAAGAAGTTCCATTTTGTATTAAATATATTTCATTTTATTTTTTTTTTCTCCGTGTCATATCGGTGTAATAAAGTGTCAATGAATCGGTATATACTATCCGTATCCTATACTATCCGTGGCCGCGGTTTTACCCGCGTTAAATTTCAATAAAGAATATAGCCTCTGTATTATTGTTTCTGATGCATAAGCTATATTACTGTAAAGTTTCATTAAAATCCGTTCAGTAGTTTTTGCGCGAAAGAGTAACAAACATCCATACATTACAAACTTTCGCGTTTATAATATTACAAGCGACTTGCCAGGTGTACATATTATATATTAGGTTTATATATTATATATATAAACCTTCCTCTAGAATCACTCTATCTATTTAAAAAACCGCTAAATATCCATTACGTAGTTTTAAAGATTTAAGTATATGTAATGATGATGATGATTACGATAAGGTATATTTTAATTTATTAGAAAATCAATATAGTAATATATTTTACATAACAAACGATTTAAACAAATACCTGTGTATATTGTTTTTGCATAAATAAAATAAAACTGGAACGTAAAGGTCAACTTTTTGTACAATTTATATTTTATTCCTTTTATTATACCCTTGATAGGCAGTGGCTTATTTGGACTAGTATTGCTACTATCTACTACTTTAGTTTAATTGTTATAAGTTTGATACATTACAAGTGAGTTGTTTTATCAATACACAGTCGAATATTTTATCCTTTACTAGGGAATAAACCTGAACACACTGACGGACTATGTCAGCAGTATCAGTATACCACACAGTAAATATATACCGAAGTAATACGCTTAATGCTTTTCTACAATAAAATAAATTTCACGCGTATGATATTAAGTATTCGAAGAGCGAATTTTGTCCGCATACTTATGTGTGAATTTGTATAGATTATTTTGGCGTGGATTGTATCCGCAGTGCGTATAGTTACGATCAGTTTTCATATATTACATATAATATACATAAGAATAAAAATGCGGATAAAACTCAATTAAAATTCTCAATGGCGATTAACAAGAGCACGTTAATACGGTGGATCGTAAATAAAAGAATGAAGCTATAATTATTACTAAAGAACTGCTGAACCTCTAATGAATTGAGTGTGTTTACAGACATTTGATATTTGGGCGAACCTTTGCCAAACCTTCTGACCTTTACACTGTCCCATAACGATATAACTGACGGTATGTACATTAATATAACTACAGGACTGCCGCGTACTCGTGGATACCACTGTAAATCATTCTACAAAATGTAATTAGTTTTCATAGTTCTTGCAGATTACACTAGCACACGGAAGGGCTAATATAGAATTATATTGAAGTGTAACACACTGAAAACACGCGGTCTGGATTTTATCTCATAAATTAACATGATAATATATTTCACATAAAATTTAACAATCTTGACTTGTAATTATTAAAATATAGCAAGGGACAAACACGGTACTAAATTCACAGGAGGAAATATATACCAACGTACTTTCTTTTACCTTTTGAGTTACAGAAAATGCGGCAAGCTAGATAAATACAGCTTTGCAGGTGAATTGAAATACTTTTTGAAATCGGTTGGAAATATTTAGAAAGAATAAAAATATTTTCGTCGAGAAATTGGTTCGGATGACTAACTTTTCGAGGATATCTTGCTTGGTTATCTTAGTTTGGGTATATTATATGTATATATTATATAAGCTTTGAAATAGCTATTCAATCATCATAAAATTTTCGTATAAGCAAAGTCCTATGGATACAGAGAAAAATAGACTATATATTTTTATTATAATAGACCAAGTCGCGTGCTCAAGCTAGTTAATGTAATACATTTAGTATTTGTTTATCTTTTGCTGACCTATTCAAAATGTACCTAGACAAAATTAACGAATCGTCTTTACATGTATTTGTGAATTTATTACTTGGATTCTTGGGTTAGTTGATTAGAGCTCTGTTTGTATTTTAGTTAACACTAGCTACTCGCCCCGGCT